TTACACAAAATCTGATACCGTATATATACAAAACAAAGTCATGTGACCAAACACATACACCACACTCGTACAAAGAATCTGGAGAGAAGCCATGTTTAATGCTCGGAGAAAAACTTTAGAAAATTTATTCATAGAAACTCTGTCTTTTTTTCTGTACGTTTTCTTCTTTCTTACAACAAAATATCTCGGAATGTAAATCCATGACAAGTAATATATAGTCTTAAGTATATAAAACTACAACCCTGAAGTCAAACTCTTACAACTGGTAGGCCAAGCTAAGGTCGAAAAGAACAAAGCTTTCACACGGCCTGGGTTAAAAGCGCAAAACGATTTGGTATTACATGATAGACTGGTGGTTCAATCGCATATACGTATTCTATGGTAATATTACGTTACGTGGGAAATGTGATTCCGCCTAAATCGTAGAAGATGGATATTGTAAATCTCTAACAGAAAAATATTGCAATTTGTTTCAAATGTAGTAAGTTAAGTTGGTTTGGCAAAAAGTTATTGAGTAATCGGTGATAGTACTTCGTCGACGGTCCATGGTTGTTAACTGGTATTAAATTTATAAACAAGCCGCCACAGCAAATCGTGGATGTAGGTGATCGGCAGTAAAATTTAGTCCCATAACTTCGTCTTTGCAGCTCCGAAGTAAATCCGCTGAAAATTTCGTTGAATTATTCGTGCACTCGTACAAGACACATATGGAACCCTCTTCTCCTATACGGTAGGATACGTCGGCTGGGTCGATCCATATCGTCAGTTCCTTTGGCAGCAGATCGTGCAATTCCGTGAGACTGAGTCCCGCAAGTTCTCCTGCTCTGGCGATTAATGGGTCCATTCTATTGCAACATGTACGTAGACAGCGATACGCACTACCTTTGTGGGGGTTTTCGGGAAACCAGTGCTGTTGATAATGAAGCTTAAGGACATCATGTAGTTGTTTAGCAAATACATCGAGTCGCTGATCAGTTATATTACGAGTCCTGAGCAGATTTTTCAAGAAGTTGACAGCGCTTCGAATCTCTTTTTTCATATTCGTAGAGTGTTCTAAGTTCAATAATAGTAAATTGCGCAATGTAGTAGCAAACGATTAATGTTGCCGTGATCTACAAATTGACGGGGAATCCCAGACTTGAACAATGGCTTGGGTTGGGCTGGACGCGGAGATATGGCGGTTGTTGTTGACGGTTTTCTACCTTCCACTGGGGCTCAAAAATTATCCTGTTTCGCCTCGTCTATGGTTAAAAATTCAACTCAGTGGCATCTATGAGTGGTATCCTCTTCTTTTACAATACTGTGGAATAGCACCAATGTTCATGTAAGGCTGAAAATTGCGATTTTTCACCACACAGTAATTCGCAAGCTTTCGCTCTTCTGTTCGCTGCCAAACTGCTGAGCTCGCGACTATTTATCGTGTAATGCGTGGTAAACACGTGACGTCAGAGGCGACACCGTGTTAGCCAATCACAATTCTAAGAATCCGTGACGTCAGGCTATTAACCAATGAATAACACTGTGCTGGCTTGTTGTTCATTCA